AGCTGTTTTGGGAGCAGAATACAGGCAAAAGGTTATCGTTTCTCACTCCTAAAGCACCACCTGTTCCTGGGGAGTTTGGTAGCAACCCTGGTACTACACCAACTTAGGTGTGGTAGTTTGAGAAGGAAGAGGGAAGTATGCAAGTAATAAAATTGATTAAATACCAGACCACAACTCTAAATCCATTTTAGTCTGTCTTTGTTCTCCAGCATTTCCAGATAAGCATTTTATGATCACTGATTTCCAATTAGATATGTTATCCATAATGTCATAGGGAAATGGAGACACAAAACAATAAAGCTTTTTTCTGAAAGGTTACATTCAAACTCTTACACGTTTACAAATCCATATGGCTTCATAAGTAAGTGTAGTGTATGCAGTTCCAGAGAAACATCTAAACTGCACACACTGCAAACCTTGTATAAACTATAGATTTGTTCATGCTGCCAAAGATTTGCAATAAGCTTTTGTTTACAACAGCAAAGAACTGTCCAATGCTTTTATTGTTTTGCCCGCTACTCTGAAGCACTTAGCAATCCTTCCACTCAGCATGTTAATTATGGAAGATGCTTTTTGTATTACATGATTTATTTAAAGCCTGTTCAATCTCAATTTCTGAAATCCAGACTGTGAAGCATCACATAACAATTTATTCTTCTCCTTCGCATCTTTGGTCACTAATAGCAATTTTACAGTACACTATGCCAAATAAACACACTTTAATACCTTAATCAAGCATTTAGGAAGCTGCTTACAAAGACTCAATGCACAGTATCATCTCTGCAGTTAAAGGTCAAATACAATTTCCATTTTGACCTCTGTCTTAGCACGCACAAAACCAAAACCATACATGTATACACTAGGGTTTAAATCTGGATTCTAGCTTTTTTTTTTTAAGCTAATTATTTTTCCCAACTTTGAAAATATTTGATTTGGCCATACTTATACATTTCCCCCCCAATCTAAAACATCCCCCCCCCCCCCCCCTTTAAACAACAAAAACACATTTTATAGTGTTTTCAGATGTTGAGATCTTTTATGCTAGCTAAGGACACTAATTTGAGTAGAAAGAACCAGCCATCAGCCAAAGTCCGGTCTTTTGAAGATAATACAGCTACATGACAATTTCTGGGAGTTGGCCGTGGAAAAGTCAGGATCGGTTGGTGTCTTATATCCTGCCTCATTTTTCACATAAATGTGTGATGTGATATACATCTGGCTCTGGAAGAAGTTTCAGTTCACCTTTTAGGCCCACCAGTATGCCTCTTCTTGATCCTCTTTGCATATGAAATTTCATAATCATTTTATCTTACAATCATACACTGCGTTAATAGCAAAGCATACAGCTGAAATGCTAAAATCCAAAATAAATTTGGGTATAATGCATTGTGCCAGTATAGCACTGTGTTTGTATGGGCATATGCACGCTACTTCAATCCACAGAAAACACAAGCAGTAGAGAGGATCAAAGTCAGACCTTTTACGGTTAACTGTTAGGAAAAAACTGCATAAGGGAACTAGAAAAAGAACGACAGTTTCTGAAACCTACCGTACACCAGCGGGCACAGGTGTTCTTCTAAAATTGTTACCCTGCTACTGGCCAGGAGGGCAGACTATCAACATTTGCAACTGGCGCTTTCAAGTTTCAGCAGAACATTTCCACAGCTTTTTAAACACTTATTGAACATATGCATATATCTGCCCTGCAAAGTCTATCATTCAACATCAATTAGCAGTATTTTTTGGAAAGCAGCACTTCGGAGCCAAAGGAAAGGCAATAGCTAGAGAAGCCTGAGAGAAGCTACCAAGCCTGGGAGGAGACATACTGAAGTCGTTCTAGCACCTCAGACACACAAGTCACATTGACACGTAGGCTCTACAAGCTTCATAGTTTCTCCACTTCAGTATTACACTGCACAAGAGCACTGTTGGTTTGTCTGAGGCTCAATGACAGTGCAACAAGTAGGAGGTAGTAAGCTGTATGCATCAATTGTATCTATTAATGTTGTCTCTTTATGGTCAGCTACCTCACCGCTAATCTTTATGTTTTGGAATAAAACTATAGAAACTTATTGGAATAAAACCACTAGAAACAGAGTTCTGGTTTTCCACTATGGTGAGTGCCACTGGATATTCTCAAGAATTCTGAATCTTAGGACTCAGCAGAAGAACTTATACTAAAACCACTGAATTTTGCTAAGAGGCAATGGTTAAAATTCCTGTGTATTTGGGAAGCCGAGTAAAAATATGCCAAAGAAAGAAGTGGCTTCTACCTTCCACATCACTTCATTTCTCAACTTTGCACTGTGTCATTTTAACATACCTTGCATTATGTGCTTCCTTCAACTGAGACTGCCAGCCTTTATTAAGCTAATATACAATTTTGACAATATCCTGCCCTATATCTAAATAATGCCTTTAGATGCTCCATTGGTATTGTGAGCATTAATCTCCCACAAAAACAAAAACAAAAACACACAAAAACCCAAACCATCAGAGTAAAATCCAAATAACTAGAGATTCATCATCATGGTGTTTTTGGCAGCAGTGGCTAACAGCTTTACAGACATTTTATTTAAGATTACTTAGACTGTTATGCAGGACATTTCAAAGAAAATTCTGCTAATTTACTCAGTTAATAATGATGGATTTGCTTCAATATCCAGACAAGTGAAAATATATTGAGCCAAAATAATTTTCACTTAAGGTTATGCCCTTTGAATGATTACCATGGGCAGGGAATGGAACAATATACTTCCACTGTTACTTTGAATGAAAGACCTTTATATATGGTATTTTGCCAGGAATAGAAATTACTCCTGTTTTTTAAAGTCTGACCCAACGCAGCTGCTTTGTTTAAAAAGTAGTTAATGATTACTTTTGCATCCACTTCAATAGATCAAAAAAGAACATTATTCTGAAATCGAAGCACTATAAGCAATTTTTATTTGTTATTTGAAAGAAATTAAATGGAAAAAAGCCTTTTTTTTTTTAAATTCAACCATCATACTTTCTTCATTAACATTTTGCAATATAATAAAATATTAATAAAATAGCTTTAATATTACCTAAAATGTTGCAATTTAGCCTTTATAAGTCATGCCAAACTTTCCACAGTTCATTCTCCAAAGCCTACTGACTCATAGCAAAAAAATCAGATTTATAGTTTTGTCCTAAAAATGATTTAAGCTAAAATACCAAAAAGTTGCAAGTTTCCAGGCCTCCCTTTCATACTACATTCATTTAGGAAATATTTTAATGACAGGCAATCCTAAAAGAGAAGCAGAGATGCAGTATATTTAACAGGCCAAGTTAAGAGTTCGCACAGGAAAAAAAAAGCAAGACTTTCAAACATCACATACTTAGACACTGTTAAAGGTATCATATTTCCAAACTTCTGGTTTCACAAAATACATTATTTTTATTTGCTAACAGAGCAGGGTCTACAGAAAAACAACACATTAAGATGACTCTTGAGTATCATTTCTGGTTACTAATAGCTAGTCCTTCTCCCAGATTTTTTTTTCAAAACTCATTTCATAGTTTAATTAGATCTATCTTTATCTAAATAGAGATATGAGAAAGATTTATATATACACACACACATATATATATAAAGTGAGCTTAAAGTTAGGACTTAGTAGTCAGGATACTGACTCTCAAAGATGAGCTATAATGTGAACAAACTGTTTTCTACAGTGTCAGGCTATACTTAATTTTGGAAAATTAAGCTGGTTATTATTTTTTACTGCCCAAGAAATGTGAAATAAATCAGCTATGGCAAAACTCTTGTCCTGAAAGCGCTTTCTAATTGAATATAGGTACCAGGAACTGAAAAAATGGGTTATAATCAGAATTTAAAACCCATCTCCCTTATTGCCATAAATGCAGCTTTGTAATTCAAGACAAAAATCCTGAGTAAATTCATTTTAAAAATTCAACGCACTAGTTAAACAACTTAAAGGCAAATCTAATCCTGAGATCATCTGAAACAGTTTTAGTACAGCATATGCTCAATATTCCAGACTTCTCTTGAACAATTGCTAGTGGGAACTTAACTCTTGAAAGCTGCTTTAGAAAACATCAATTAGAAAATACCGAGTCCTACAACACATGCCTTGCGGATAACCAAATTAACAATCAAGCATAAAGAAACCTGCTTCTCCATTTAACAAACAGGCATCCCAAACCAGCATGCGATTTTGTTCTAGTCACCTACCTCTAACAAAGAATAATTCCCACAAGTATTTCAGTGTTACAGAGATTTTGTCCTGCTCCCATCATAAGCAGACAAAATTAACCTAGCTTCATGATAATGCTAAACAATACATCCAATTAAGAGTAGCAATTGGATATAGCATTACTTTTGTACTTTTTGATATTTAAGTTTATACTCTTGCAGGACCAGTAGTTTTCTATAGATCGGATTCTGAATTAAGAGACCTCTTATATTCACCTTTTTAAATAAAATAAATTTAATTGCTATCAAAAGCAGAGGAAATCTACAGTCTTTTCTCCACTAAGTCTAGCATGATACCCCGGAATCCACTGGTATGAGCGGCATTATGCAACTTGAAAGGAAATGAAGCTAATTAGAAAAATAACGCTAAAGGCAGTTTTACAATTTTTTTTTAATATATATAAATATATACACAATATATATAGTAATACAAAATTATTATAAACAAATCTTTCTTCACCTACATATCAATTTTAAGAGTTGCCCAGATACTGTCATTTTGATAATGTTCTTAAGATTCTGGTGGCACCGACAGTTCTATTTTCTTGGCAAGCAGTTGTACATTTTATTTCAAGTATTAGCTATAATGCAATATAAATTCAACTGTGTCTAAAAGCATACTTTAATTTATGCAGGTACCCATCTCTCTCTTTTTCTTAAGGGAATATAATTTTGTAATCATGAAATATTATGAATGACCATTAACAGTGAGGTAGAAAAACTATAGGTTTTCCATAGGTATATAAATAGAGATACTTACAGCCGTTCAAGTTGTTTTAGATCCTGAAATGCTCCACGTTCTATCACACTAATCTGATTTTCTTCCAAGTGTCTGCAATGCCAGAAATACCAGTTAATTTTTAGAAAAAAGAATAAAAAAGCTTCCCCACTTCTCTTCACATGCGCTACAAAATTGCCTTTCACAGAAGTACCAGTAACAGTTATAATTAGAGATTTTGAAAAAAAATCTGGACAGAACAACACTGTTTCTCTTGGTCACTAACAGGAAACAGATTCAAAAATTGCCTCCTGACTGCCAAGTTTGGTAAGCGTTTTTGTTCCTAAACTTTTATAACCATAACCGATATGCTCAGAAAGGTGTTGGTCTAGAGGCTGATTGTTACATCCTTAGTATACCACTCTTAGTTTATGTAATGTAATTGAGATAACTGACTCCTACAGCCCATAGCAGGAACCCACTCAATGTCAACATCTTTTTTTGTCCAGCCTTTATGTTCTGCAAAGATTTCAGGCTTGCCCCAGCGCAAACCATTTGTAAGTAATCCAAAGTGGTTCAACCCCTCCAGAAATACAGCCGTGACAGCTATGTGCGACAACTGCATACAGTCCCACGGTACAACAGGGTGCAAAATGTAAGGGAAAACTCCCAGGTTTCCACTGTGTCTGACCCTGCTTCTCTTCACCCCTGAGGCTGAGACAAGGATAAGTTATAAGCAATGGAGACTGACTTCTCTTTGATTCATACTGTGGAGGAAACGACTATTCATTTACACAGCAGAAATGCTCTTTATAGGTAAAGTGGAAGCCAAGGAATAGAGATACCAATACTCCCATTTAAGCCGACCTTTTTCCTCTCTCAGTGCTGCCTTCCAGCACACACCCATTTTCTGCTTCTGTAAGACCACTCAGACGCATGGACTAATCTCTAGGCTTTCTGAACATTTTATGTGGCTTTAGCTAAAACACAGAAAGGAAGAACTTAACACACAATAAGTCTGGGCTCAGCCAAGACTAACTAGTGAAAAAGCACTATCCTTGCCTGTTCTCAACAGCCACTCCTCTGCACTCAATCCTATGAGGATGCTGAGGTGTTCGACTAGATAGCAGTTGAGAAGACAGACAGCAAGAGAGTATTCCACAGCTAAGATCACATATGAGGATGAAAAAAATAAAATTAAAAAAACCCCAAACATGTGAACCAGGGAGACATGTTCCTAAAAGGAGAGGGAGGAAAAACTGCGTGAGGAAAGGGAAAAAACGATGAAGTTATACGGGATAACAGGAAAAGGTGCACAAAGGAATATTTTGCATGTATGTTGTCAGTTGGAGACTGGAAGCTTTTTTCTGTTCCACTGTTCTACCAGTTTCTGGATCACTTGTTTGTTGTCCTCATTCTGATGTCTGAAAACAGGACTAGGCTACCTTTCTAGGAACTCTGGGACAGGTTTCATGTTTCTGTGCTGCCCACTATACCCCCCGTCACACATTGAGAAAAAAAAAGAGGAAAAAATAGGGTGTCAATAATGTAGAATAGCCAGAACGATGAAGAGATCATAAAAGAAAGCAAAGAGAAAATAAGAAAAATCTGAAGGACTTCTAGAGACCAAAACTGCACAAAGTAAAAGCCGCACAAAGTAAAATAAGAAAAACCGCAAACACATACCAGACGTGACAGGAACATGGAGAATAGGGAAATATGCAACAATGAACAAAAATGGGTATGTTAGCAAACAGTGAAACGGCATGTCTTGGGTTTCAGATGGTCTTCATACATTGGAAGACAAAGCCAATATAAAAATATACATTTTTTTAATAGGTATTCTCTGGTTTTATTCCTAATGACTTCTGTGGCAAACACCACACTACTCAAAGGCTGAACAAACGCTTTACATAAACCTGTAATGAACGCATAACAAAAAATTCATGTAGAGATGGTGGCAGTTGCATATTTTGCTCATTGTTAAGGTCATTCAGTATAAATGACTGCAGCGGCATTAGGCAACGTCTGACACTATAAAAAACCAACCAAACCAAAACAACTACTGACATTAATGATAGTATAGTACGTGTATTTTAATAGACTTCCAAAATGGTATTGACAGTTGGGATGGGAGCCAAGGAAATCTAAACAACTCCACAGCTAGAGATGAGAGAAACACCATAGGAACGAAAAGTCTTTCAATAGATTTGAAATGCTTTCTTTAGTACATGAAAAAGTGTTAGGGTAGCAGGAAAAAAAGACTTGCCTTTTCATTGGCAGGATTCAATTAATTCATTGATTGAATTATCACTAAATAACTGTAACAGTTCAATAGTAGCAGTTTTAAGGACTTATTTTAGAAGATACTCAAAGGAAAACAACTGCAGAGGGCAATCTTATGAATTACAGAAAGGAATTTTCAGGGTGTGCTGGTGAGATTACTTGTGTGTTTCCCAACTTCTGATAGCTGTTCGTTTCAGAAGGGATCAACAGAGTGGTAAAACCAACCTGCCTCTGTCAGTGCTGGGACCAGCTCAATATTAGGCTTTTGTCTTGGTCACTAAAACTTGGAATTAAGCACAACAGTTTAGTAAAATACTGCTACTGAACTAGATGGCACGCACACACAGAATGTCGTCACTATTATGTAAATGGCACTTGATAAACAGAACTAGATAGCAATTCTTTTTTTTTTAAAAAGAAAAATTACGGGAGTTGAACTTTACCCACTGGTTACTGTTAACATAAATACCTTTCACGTTTCAGAAACATTTTCAATAAAAACATCTCAGCCACTGCTTTTATCCATACAGATCTACACACATGCATGTATGATCTCCCCAATAACATACCAATGTTTCTCACTGAGAAACTTGCAAATTTGCATCGCTACAATAGCACTCAGTGCCCAAATACAAGCCCAGTGAAGGTAGAAACCAACAGTTAAATGAGAGCTCCAGAAACACTAAGAACCGAAGAGCTTAGCCTCAGCTAATTCATTACATTCAAAACTATTTTGTTTCTCTCATTTGGCTTTTTTTCCCCCTTTCATACATGCCCAAATATTTAAAGCTATATATTTGATTTCACATATAAAAATAATGCAATGAACTTAATTTCCACAAAGCAAATACTGGATCCCCACAATATTTCTGGCAGAGGTGTCAATATCTATGTCTGCTCGTATGTTGACATGAAGGGGATCTAAATTACTTGATGTAATTCAGAAAAACTGTTAGAGAAATTTCAAGGGGAAAAATTAATTCACTTTAAATAGAAAGAACCTCCAACTTTTCCTGAAAGGACTGAAACAGCTTCAAAATCTATTTCTTCTTCTTTTAATCCAAGATTATTTTCTTAAGAAAAAAAGGTCTATGTATAACTACAATAAGCATCTATGAAGTAGTCCTAATTTTCGTCACTAAATTAGTAGAGGTTCATAGAAGAGAAAATAGGAAATCAGGAATGACAGATTCTGTAGACTGATATTTCCCCTTTTCATGTTCAAGGCCCATTTAGAAGTACAGTTAAGCTCTTGACTGATACTTTTAAATCAATAGACAGCACCACCTAAAATTTTTTTATTTATTACTTCATATTAGACTAAAAAAATTCACAGGTTTCCTTGTGTACAACTTCTACAGCTATCAACTATCCTTAATCAAGTTCTGCTTAATCTTCTGCAAGTGCTATTAATGGGACTGCACCTTAATGCGACCAAAATCTGAAAGTCCTATTTGCTAGTATTTCAGTACAATTGATTTATGCATAAGTGATTGTAAAGTGGACCAAAATTTTGACCACAGTATTTATTAGGAGCCAGTGAGAAACACAAACAATTAAATAACTCTGAAACTACATTCAGACTTTAGCATGGAACTAAAATTTACTGTTTCACATCACAAATTGTTCCAGTTGCCTGGTTTAAAAGAACACTAATAACTGACTAATGTGCATAAATTACTAGCATTTGATCTCTAGAATTATGGACATTCTTAGTACTAGCACTTTAAAATAGTCTTGCAAAGAAAGACAAGTTTCGTGTTATACTCACAAGACACGGAGATTCTTCAGTCCTGTGAAGTCTGTCTTCGTGATTCTTGTGATATTATTTTTTTCTAGATCACTGCAGGGGAAAAAGAAACCAGCATTCAGGCACTATAACTGACATCCAAAATTCTGTTAGCAGAAAATATCTCCATCAGTGGAGCATCTAGCAGCTGCTCAAATTGTACAAACTAATGTTTCCATTAAAATCTCAAAAAGCAAGTCATCAATCTTGATGCATTTTGCCTCCTCTGAGTAGACTGCTCTCATACAAGAAGTTTCTTCCATTTCTATTTCTAGTATCGGTGCTCACTATATGCTTCTTTCTCCCTCAAGACTACAATCTTGTAAGAGGCTAAATATATTCAAGACCCAATTGGTATAATACAGCTGAAACATAGTACTCTGCCCCAAAATGAAGATCAAACTCTGGGGTTATTCTAAACCCAAGTGAGTCTAGCCTGCTGCAGAAACTTAGGCTACACAGAGCTTGAGGAGAGAACAACTTACTTTAGTGACTCCTAAGTGCGGTCCTACCCAAATGATTGGAAGATTTGCAAAATTATAGAACAGCTTATGTTTTTTTTCAAGCATCCTAATTGGGCAGCCTCCTGATCCCAGCTTTTTGGAAATGCTGTTTTTCAGAAGATACTGTTAATCAGACTGACCTGTTTCCCATGTGTGTTCACCCTTTGCCAATTCCTCCATTCTGTCTTTAAACTCTCAATTTCCTAACACCTGTTATGCGCTGACACATTTTCCTCCTGTGGTCACATACCAAGTATTATGCTCTGTATTCAAAATTAATAAATAACTGACTTCTTTTCCATGACAGGGAAAACCCACTGTAACCAGACCTTGAGCTACCCACTTTTCTGCAGCTTTTCTCTGAAGTGAGCACACCAAAAATACAGAAGAATTTCATGTCTAAGCTTATATCTTAATAGAATAGACATCAAAATAAAACACACCAGTTTGAGACAAATTCTATTTAATTCAAAAAAGAGTCAAATTAAAAATAAAGGAATTTATAAACTAATGCTTCTTGCAAGACTGATCCTATACTTAAGGATAGCTCTCAGTACACTAACTTTGGTGCCTTTAGAATCACAACAAACCAAGAATAACTCCTTTTGTTTCCCAACGTAAAGAGTCTTTCTGTCATTTAATTTCAAAAGAGTACACCAAATACCTTCTGGTGCTATAGGTCCTGTGTTGCTGCTTTCTCTCCTCTAGACTTGCCTTTGCTAGGCAATCCTAATGTTCTTCCAGTTCAGCATGTCCATTGTTTGAGGTTTGTTTGGGATTTTTTCTGTCCAGATTGTTCTATCTGACCTATTGCTAACCTACAGGGACAAGACAAACAGCTAATCTTTCTTCCTGGTCTTCAGCCATGCCTATTTTAACATAATAAGCAATATGCAGCAAATTTACAATTAATAGAAACAGATATACTCTCCATCACGTCACCACAAATTTGTCCTGAGTGTCAGTTTCCTAGATACAAGAAGCCTTTTATGAAAAATAGATTTTCTAATATTGGAGTAGACTTTTTTCTTCCAAGTCACATTTTATGTCTACCAAAAGCTGCTAAATATCAAAAATACAAGCCTTTGGGGTAACAGTTTTCATGCCAAAAAAGCATTCAGTACTTTTCTAAAGATCATGAGATTGTAAACAAAACAATCTGATAAATTTTGTTGTCTATTGCCATGGAATGAAAACAATCCAATATGAAAAACTAGCCATGAGGCTAGACATTTTTTTTCTAAAAGAAAATGTAAGACCACAAATCCACAGCAGGAAGTAGAGGCTTTTCCTATGCAATTAAGTTTTACAATGGTTCCTGCCTCTTTTGTATTTCGAAGGTTCCATTTCTCTCCCATTTCTAGTAAAATTCAACAACAAAAAGCAAGATTACAGAATTATTTTTAAGTACATTTGGCAATCATCTGACACCTGCACAAACCTTGACCCTGAAATAATATCTGAAAATCAGATGGGTGTTCCTAAGTGCTGTTTCAAGTTGATTATTTCTCTAGTTACAAAAAAGAATTTAAGGAAGGGATAGAAGTCAGAACTTCCAGGAATGCCTCGACTATCACATTTGTACTCTGAAAAATGCTGCATAGATGGCTATCTAGGATGGCTTCTAAGCACCTAGCAAGTAATACTGCAAACAAAATGCAAAAGCTCTTGAAGTGTTGAGAACAGTTTGATCATCTGTAATCATTCATATACCATCCTATGGGGGGGAAAAGTGCTCCTGGCTGGCACAACTTCCAGTAATTTTCTATCCTACATGCAGTTCCGTACAAGCCTTCTGGTATGGCTACTACTTAAGCCACTCTTTTTTCACCTTGCATGAGATCCTATTAGTAGGATAGAACTACTACTAAGAAATACATGAGTGTTCAAGCATAAATGATTATTGAATCAAGCTCCTATTTTTCTGCCAACATGAAGTAATACTCTACTAAGGCATTAAATGAAAAGCAATTGTCATGGTAACAAATTTCATTTTTCCAGTGTGAACCATGTTGTCAAATAAAGGCAGTTACATATTTTGAAGTTTAAGCTTGTTAAAAGGTACATTTTCAATATTCAGAGAAGAAACAGGACTGATTGTTTAGTATATCTACTAACTTCCCCAAATGCTTCTAACCATGAAAATAAAGAGTTTTTTCGTAATATGAACACTATCTTGCACTTACCAAAAATGTAAATATTTAGATGAGTATAGGTAATTGTATTCATTCATCTGAGGAAATAACTCTTCATATTCCTAAACGTACATAATTGTTTTCTCACGTGTTCCCTAAATCTCAGATGCAAACCGATATGGAATTAAGCTCCTTTTAATGTCATTTTAACACACTGATGCATTCACTTACTGGAATTGAAAAGCTAAAAAAAAAAACCCAAACCCAAAAACAAGAAAACCCAACAACACAAAGAACTAAAGTCAATACAGTATGAGCCACTCCATAACTGAGGGGAGTCTGGTACTTCGAAGTCAGCAATGACAATGATTAAGTTCACAGTTCATACTGACAAAAACCCCAGCCTATATGTCTACAAGATTTGTGCCAGGGACAAACCAGCTACAGTTTAAGATCTCCATCTTTTCCACAGAAACTTAATTTGCCATAGAAAACAGGAAAGAACAGATTAAGGACTATTTAAAAAAAAAAACAAAAAAAAAACCAAAAAACCCACACACCTAAAATTCAGACCAATAATTCCACACATTATCCATAATGAGAATTTCTTACTGAATTCTACCATTAAAAATAGAAGCCATATAGGCATAGAATACATAACGGGTTTTGCATATCTTTTTCAAGCATTTGCATCAATCTTGTAGTGAATCCTTCTAAGGTATAAGCAAGACATTAACAGGATTGAAGCAGTATGAGAGATACACTAGAGTGCAGAAGTGTTTTATAATATTGAAATCTATTTCTGATGGTTATTGATAAGTGTCAAAATAATACTAATAAAATTCTTGAGTCATAAAATGATTTAAAAACAGACAGAATAAACATTTAAGAGTTAGTTTACGCATCTTAGCACAGGACATACTTAAATAATAGAAGAAACACATTCTCCTGTCAGTAAACCACTTTCTTTAGCACAGATGGGAACTAAGGATAACGATAAGGAGATGAAGGGAAAAAATGACTACATTTTGGCTATATGAACAAGGAAGACAGTATCCTTGCTTGGCTTATGTCAACTATATTTAGAAAAGGTCCATTAAAGAAAAAAAAACACAAAACAACTACAGGGTACTTTCATGGCATGTACCAGCCATTCTCTTCCATTTGCGTTTATCCTGTTGATTAAATCGTGCTTTTCTCCAGGAATGCCTTTGAATCACTGCCTACATTTTTCAGATTTTCCAGCTTAATTTCCTCTTCTGTTCTCAGTTCAGTTCTTCCACCCTGGTGCATTATTAACTACTCACTGGTGTGCCAGGGTGACCTGACTGCAAGAAGCATTGGAAAGAATTAAGTCTGGAGTAAGCAACGCATAAATAGCTTGTGTTTTACTTGCATGATGTTTCCCATCTGCTTTTCATGTCATTCCTTCAGTTTTCCCTTGCCTGTATCTCAGAAAAGGTCTAGCAAAGCACAGCATTAAGCCGGTCAGAATTCTCCAAGGCAGATGGGAGTCAGCTAAGGTATACGGGGCAACACAGTGTCATTGGCCCGTCTTTTTGTCCATTTCGATAAGACTTAATTCTCAGCACAGCTTTACTCAGCTTGAACAGGTACATGTAGAACTGCATTCCTGTCAAATACATAGCAATCTCTCCACCGCACCACCCCTCCTGCCCGGTCTGAGACACCAATCCCACACATCAGCTCTATTCCTCTAGACTTTCAGCCTCCAGAACACTCCTGCTATTCAACATTCTTCCCCTGGTGAAATCTGCAGTTCCCTATTCTGAAAAAGACTTTAACGTTCCTTGATCAATACATATCTTGAGATTGCTTTTTCCTCTACTCCTGCAGATTGGCACAGCCTACATTGTATACGTAATACCAGTCATTCTATTAATCCCTTCTAAAGGTTAATATCTAAGTCGAAGGTTTCCATTTCTGTAAGTAAAATTACTTGGACAATGTTCTAACTTTAAGAGACCTGTTCTTCATGAAGTTCACTTTCTTTAATCCATGTAGGATTTAATTGATAACTGCTGCCTCTGTTCTAAAAAGAAGTATTTACCTTCTGAACATTTGTCTGTTCCAGCATGCTCTCCCTCAAGGCTTATCTGCCATTTGAAGAAAAACAGACTAAAACCCTGATGAACTACTATGTAACACTTCCTCCTCCTGTTCGCACTAGGCCTAACACTGCTGCAAAGCAGCAGATTGCCACAGGTCAATTGCCATTAGTCAATTAAACTTTGTGACTGCGAAGTTACTGAACTAATGCAGACGTTAGTGGTTTACAGCTGGTATTTGTGGGCAACATAATATTTTATGTTTCCTTTATAAAGTTTGGCAGCTGATTATGGGCTCACTAGTGGGTTTCAACTACAAAAAGCTAAACCTTAACATCTAATCTTGG